GGTCTACCCCTGCACCTCCTCTTCTCCAGGCTAATTCACTTAAGTTATGGGTATTTCACTTAAGTTTGTGTTTGCTGGGTGTAACAAAGGTTCCCTTACTATAGCAATGCTTGCTAGTGTCAGTAACATGTTGTAATGCTTTTGGGAAATTGCATGTTATTTCTGTTAAACCCTTTCTGCCAAAACCCGTTTTCTCAACAAATCATAAGAAATCTCTTAGAGAAAAATGTGTAGCTTTATTCCAGATGTGAACTCAAGGTACCAAAGAATCAAAAGCCTTTGTGTAAACAAAATCTCTTGAAGCCTGAAATAAAAGTGTAACACCAAGTAAAGCGTGGAGCTTCTAAACTGGGTTGTAACAGTTAGCTAAATCAATTCCTATTAAAAGTTATTTGAGCGGCACACTCAAAGTATTAACTCACTTTGATTATACTGGCTTTAGCAGCTCAGACAGTGGAATTTTCTCATAGCAGTTCCTCCTACTACAACATGATTCTACAAGGTCTTGCACCTTTTGCAACTCACTTCTGTACTCTCCACTCTTCTTTGTCATTACTACATACAGGCATCCAGGTGGGCAGAGGGTAGGTTCAGATTGGACATAAGGAGGAATTTTTTTTTTTACAGTGAAGGTGGTGAGGCACTGGAATAAGTTGCTCAGAGAAGTTGTGGATGCCCACTTCATGGTGGGCATGAAAACTTCATGGGAAGTTTTCAAGGCCAGGGTGAGTGGGGCTTTGAGCAACCTGGTCTAGTGAAAGGTGTGTCTGTCCACGCAGGAGGGTTGAACTAGATGATCTCTGAAGGTTCCTTCTAACTCAAAACATCCCAAGATTCTGATTTTATGTATTTTAGTGCAGTTTATTGAACAGAAGCTCCTGTTTTGTCTGGATCTTTGAGACTATTCTGGCATACTCTTACCCTACTACCTCAACATAAAACACACAGATAGCCTTGAAGGATTGTCATTCCAGGCACGATGGGTCAATAATTAAAAGATTAGTGTTTATTCTACTTTAAATCTTTATAACTAGGTATCTTCATTTTCAATTCTGTCATAAGATCTGTGGACAGAACTGGCTCTAAACTCTGTTTCATTAAATTATATAATAATGGCCAGTCTTCGCGAACGAAGATCTGGGGAAAGGTCTTTTACCTTTCCAGCCTGCGCAATAGATTTTTTAGGTGAGACACAGCCTGCGCTGAACTGAGCCCACCCTTTAATCCTAAGGTTCATCTGCCAGGGCCAAGCAAGCTTGGACAATGGCAGTGAGGTCCTCAGGACGTAGGTTTGTTTAGAGTGACCTTCTCATAGATGGATGGCCTCACAGGGCTAACGGGTTCCATCTGCCCGGGAGACCGAGGAATCGAACCCGGGTTGCAGCAGTGAGAGTCCTGCATGCTAACCACTAGGCCACCAGGGGTCTCTTCATTAAATTACTAATAAAAGGAATCTCATTATAAATAAGCTCATGTTTTCATAACCAGGTAAGACACTAAATTTGATTCTTCAAGCAAGGATTTGGATACACTGCTCTAATTAATTAGTGGAGAAACAAACTAGAGCTATCATCTCTCCTTTTTATAGCTTCACCTCTAATGTCTGGAAAATCTCAAAAAGACAGACCAGAGGGGTAAGTACATGAGCATGCTATATAAAGATTCCATGGGAGAGTTACAGTAACTGATACAACTAAAAAGAGGACTTATTAGTGGACAAACTGAAAAAAAAGTTACAGATGAGGAACACACACAAGTTACTATTAATGAGTTCAATTAATATAATAATCAGCTAAGTTCAATATAAAAGTCTGACAGTATCCAGATACGGTTTTGCCATATAATAGATCTTTCACCTCACATGGCCTTCAAAAGACGCTTTTGCCACTAATATGAGGTAGACACTAAAACTTCTAGAAATATGTTTAAGAAGTTAGGATGAGGAAGGATATTTCCCCACAGATTACTGCTGAACAGTATGGAGTCTGTGTATGACGTGTAACTGAAGCCAAAGCATTTTGCTTTGATATATTATCAGTTTTTACATGATACAATAATGAAATACAATGCTAGAAAAGCTAAAAATACAATGCTATATTACTGGACTGTAAAATGTAATTAAAAATAGTTTTTAAAAATATTTCTTCTCAAAGACAATTATGGGAGAAGTTAACATCAAGTCATGAACAAACCTTAAAAGCCATTGTGAATAATGATAGAGTATCCAGAATTGTAAGGCAAACTTCGGTGGCAATATTTGCTTCAAGTAAAGACTGGTGAAGGACATCTGCATCTGAATGGCCATAGCCTAGAAATTCCAAACGAAGTGTAAGTGCTGGATACACTCATTTAAATGTTTCTTATTTCCAAAAGACTTGATGAACTAGGAAAAGATTAACAAGTAAAAGCCTGACAGAAGTTAGTCTTCAATGTAGAAAAATAATTCATATTCATTTAAATATTTTTCAAATATAGGCATATAGCTATTCTAACATAATTGGCACGTGATCATAAAATATATTAAGTAAGAATGTCAACAATAGAAGCATTAAACAGCAGTTAAAACAATATGTGATATTTCATATATAGGTGTATACATACACAGGCGTATATATATATAAAGGTACAGTTATATATATATATACACATATACATTTATAAAATAAGTATTGCAGTAGGATGAAGTTACAGCTGAAAATATGTAATTTTGGTAATTTAGTGATGTTATAATGGTCTCAAAGTTAATCACAAGTCAACCATGCTGAAGATACAAAACAGTAAGACCTGCAGGAATACAATCACCTACTTATATGCAGCTTAAGACCCAAGTAATGAATTCTGCACTTGTAGCAATACCATGCAATAGCTCTGTATTTAATAAAAACATTTTATTGCTTCTAGCTCCATACTGTATTTTAACAATAAAAAAGACATTTCCTGCTTCAGCACTGGTTATGACATGTCCCCCCTATGTTCCCTAACACCAGTCTTCAAGCACCAGGTTGACAAATGTGCCCAAGGTGCTTTATAAAAGTTTGGTCTGGATCACGTTTATATGTTAGATTTAGAGTCAACTTAGCATCACTAAATCAATGACATGGATGACAAACTTGTTGAGATCAAGGAAAGAATGGACTAAATGACATATTCTTTTATAATGACCCCTGGCCACTTCTTTCTGCACCTTCTTGCTTCCCTGGCTAAACTACGCATGTATATAACAGCCAGTTTCTTTAGATTTATATATTGTTTCTTCAAGCACAAAACTATACTGAAATTTCTCAGAGATAAGATATATCACTTACACCATTATTTCAGTTCTACTGATTGCTTAGATGATTAGAAAGGGAGAAAATAAGTTGATAATTTACACTAACAGACAACTGTCTTGCCAAGGAATCTTGATTTTAGAAACAAGTAAAGCAACTATTTCCACCAGATACTTTCTTCCTTTATATACCCCATACAGAATACCCACAAGATTACTGAAGATCTGGACACTACTTTGGATACATGATACAGGCAGACTGACAACTAAACAAAACTAAAAGTTAGACAACAACAAGACCAAAGATATAAAAATCAATGTCACACTTGACTGACTTTTACAGCAACATATTTTCAATTTGTAAAACCTTGGTCAATACAAGGTGTAATATCCTGATATTCATTAAATGTCCATTAAAAAACCCTCTATTATCACTTTACACAAAATTATCTGAATGAGACACCTTCCTTCATAATTTCCTTCAGATGGAAAAGAACAGAAAGTTTCTTTTTACATAAGCATGCATTTATTAAAATCTTTCAGCTCATTGTTTCGTAAAAAAAAAATCAATAAACATTGTCGAGTTCTAAAAGTATGAAATCTCTTTGTACAGGGATGTGTGATTTCCCAGAGATTCTTTTCTAAGAATCAGTTTTTATCTACAGACTATTGTACTGTATTGAATGTGTAGTCACACAGTGTAAAAGCTTCCTTTTGCGTATCAACAATCATATAGAAATTATGATATACCAGTAGTAGACTGACTGCAAAAAGAAAAAAGTAATTTGCACAGCTATATACTTGTCTGACATTTTTAAAAGCAAGCAATTGCATTTCTTATATTTAAACAGATGTGATAATGCATTTATGAACAGATGTTTTGTGGGATTTTTTTTCCAGTTTTACACAAGCCTGTGATAAGTCTTGTGCAATTAGGCTAACTGTTGCTTTATAGAGAGCTAAAAGATTTTAAGGGACAGTCAGATATGCTTTGGGAAATCGAAGAATGAACACAGTGAACATACAGTTAACTCAAATAATTGTTTTACTGCACACAATTCTGTTCAGTACCAGTGTTGTATTTTACTGGATTAGTCAACCAGTTTCTTTGTTTTTTGAAGCTGAAAATTGAAAAATGGTGCTTTAGAATATTTTATATACAGTATATTTTGCAATTTAGAAGCAGCATGTTTGAAAAGATAGGCCAGAAGCAGATTTAGTTTTTAATACAGCAGTCATACAAGCTGACTTCAACCTGATTAAATCTTACCATTGTCTACAGAAATTCCAAGAATACTTGATATCTTTCTCACACTGAAAACAGAAAAATCACTTCATTATTGGACGCTTTTTCACTTCCAGACAAACCAAATCATGGGCTCACAATCTTCGTAGAAATTCTAAGAAACTTACTTCTCTTAGGGGATGTCAAAACATGGAGATATGGTCCAAGTGTATATATTTACTTGTAGACTAGTAATTCAAAGACCAAGTGGGAGGAAAACAATGAACTTAATAAAGCAAATAGAAAAAAAAGGAAGTAAATTTTGTAACAATGTGAAGCACAATTTTGAAGTGTATATAATTTAAAAAAATTATCAGTTTTAAAATACATTGTAGTTAACCATGCTCCATGTTATGGCATCGGCCAGCATTGATTGTTCTATCATAAAGCCGAGAACAGACCATCGACTGCTTGCAGCTACTCATTTGACCTAGAACAGTAAAAGTCATTGAAATGCACTGGTGTGGCTCTGGGACCTGTCTCTGGTGTTGTGGTACTGGTTGAGGACGATGAATGTTATCATGTCATGAGACTTACTGTGGTTAAAAGTGAGAGAGTTATCCAGGCTGCTCAGCTGCTGCAATCTGGCATGCATCATTCCTGTTCTGTTACGGGAAACAGGCAATGTCTGAGATTTTCGATCATGAACTATGGATCCTAACCCCTCCTGGTTCCTGCAAGATGGGTGAAATGGGATAGAAGCAAAAGTTAGATGTGTCAAAACGCAGCAAGACAGAAGTGTTGTTAGTTAAGCACAAAGTTTTATAGAGAGATTTATAATGCAACCTATTTACTGTTTTCTTTATAAAACAAAAATAGGTAGCTTAAAAAAAGCATCACAGCAAACTCTTAAAACCTCAAAGCATGAAAGCAAAAGCACACAAGCAGTCACTCTTGAAGTGCAAAATTTACTTTAGAGCTTTTGAAAACATAAATTTTTTTGAGAACATAAATATTCTGAAAATATTCAGAACCCAAAACTGAATCCTCTATTTTGATTGCAAAAATTTTACCAAAAAAGTTAGAAGGACACATGGCAGCAAAATTAGAAAGCACACATGCAACAGGAGAGCAGGAGTTAAGTGAGATATTATAATGTACTTCTTACCCAAGCAGGAAGGGAGAAGAGCCATAGACTTTGTTAAATTTGCAGCAATCAAATGAAGAAAACAGAAAAGTGATCTGTGTTAGCAATCAGTACAGCCTAACTTCGTATTGTGTACCACCACCAGAGCTGATGAAAAATGAAAACCAGTGCTTGAATTACAGAATTCCCTGTTCCCTTTCATTCTCTGTAATTTGTGTGTTTTAAGAGCGCGTGCATTCAGTGTAACGACAATGTGAAAGACTAGAAAGCTACATTTACTGGGAAAATTCAGTATTTCTGCAGAACACCAGATGATTTCAATAGCTTAACATTTTCAGTGTTAACATGCAGCACACAGACCAGGTGATCAGTAAACAAAAAGAAAGTGTGGTAGTGTCTTCTACACACTAGTCAAACAAATTAGTTGGAATAATTTTGACAAAAAGACTGAAAATTATAGACTTCTCTAAATCCAGAGTTTGGAGTACATTTGAATACAAAGGATACAACCAAAACCTTAAGAAAGCCAGATTTATTTTTTATTTTTTTTTAGGTTATGTGAACAGAGATGAGATTTTTGTTTTCTGAAAAATCTCCAAGGAGATAGTCAAGTTTGTAGAAAGAGATTCACATATCTAAATTAAAAAGTAAAAAGCTAACATTATAATTAGAATGCTTTACCACTCAAAATCAGCAACAACTTTCTCACTGATTTCAAGAAGTCCAGTACTCTAACCCCACCAGTATAATTATAACAGTACTATTATGTCAACTAAATGCAAGGCCTAAACAAGTTGCTATATTTTACTCTATTAAAAACTACTTTGTATAAAAAACCACATTAATGTAAAGATATTAAAATAATTTAATACAAGTTTCTGACTCCCACAGATTTTCCTTGGATTTCAAATCGAGAAACAGCAGTATTGGAATGTTCACTACTCACCTTACAGTAAAAACTCTCTATATATATAAAATTTCTAAACCATTTCAATATACATGGTTTTATGGTCACGTGAATAAATGAAACAAATCATAAAATTTCTTTCTCAAAGAGACTATTTCAAGGAAAAAATGCAGTAAAAGATAGCATTTAAGGGATGGATTTTAAAGTAATTGATGATAAACACCACACAGATCATTCTTAAAAAGATACCATAGTTTCAGACAGGATACAGATTTGTTAATATAGTAACCAGTTACTTACTTCAAACTGTTACATATCATTTCACAGTAACTTTTCTACTCCTGCTATTTATTTGTAGCAGAGATTCAAAGCATATTGTACTCACTACTATTCTTCATGAACAAGACAGTGAAATTTAAATTCCACACAGTACCTGGCTATGTATCGTTTTCCCATGTACTGGAACTGATGTAAGCATACTCTGCAGAGAACACATAGGTCAGAGAAGCAACACTTGAAACAATCTCTTCTAGATTTATTTTGAATTATTCAACTACTATTTTTAACTTTAAACTCCTAGGTCATAAAACCTCGTTATTTCTCCCACCCTTAAAATTCTCTTCCAGTCCCCAAGCCAAGGAATGGTAAACATGGCTCTTATGAAATCAGTCACAGATGGCTGGTGTTTTTTGGCAAATTGGGATTGACAGCAAAAGGCACATAAGGCTGCCTCCAGAGCACACCTATCTCAAAGCTCTGAATCAAAACCACTAGCATGAGTCTAACAGTGACAAGGTGGAAGGACTAAATGGTTAAAAAAAAAAACCACTTTGGAAAACTGTAAACATCAAGTGCTCCATATCCTCTATAGATTTTTAATACTTATAGAGAAGAAAGGTTTAGTCCTGAGTCTTACAGATAAAATTTCATTATGCGAGATATGGCCCACAGTTACAGTTATTTACAGTAAGCCAGGGCAAGTAGCACGAAAGAGAGAAGCAAAGAGATAACCAGACATTACATACATACACATATTTTGCAAAATGTGTATAAGGGTTAAAAATAAGGGCAAAACATTTTGCTTCCTACCCAGTCTAAACTCTCTTGGTTACAGATTGGCTTTTACTGTTTTGTTGGGTTTTATTTAAGGTCTCCAGATTCCAGAATAACAACAGTGTTTCTGAAAGAACTATTTTTCTAAAAGGAATACAGTTTTACAATAAGAAGATGATAAAGACAAACTCCCAACAATAACTAATAATCTATGCTACTGGTAAGTACACAACACTAATGACCAATAAACTAAAAGTCATACTTTCAAATCAAGAAAACTGGTGTGAATGGAATGCAATACTAATTTTATTTTACTCTTTTCACACTGTAAGCAATAATTCTGATAATACAGAACAGTTAACGTAACTTCCATTGTTCCTTAGGCAAGAATGTTCTAGAAGTTCTTCTTTAAAGTGTAAATCCAAACTGAAAGCCAGTTTTCAGGCTCTCTCTTCCATGTGCCAGTTGTGAATGAGAGATAAGACTGGCAAATAGTATCTTCAACACAGCTCCATTTTATACTCAGACCTTTAGTAGCTCTAGCTATCTCCAAACTGTAAAATCAGAACGCAGTTTGCCTCTGAAAACTTGTCATTCTATTAAAAAACTAACCTCAATTCCCCTTTTGATCTTCTTGTCTTTTTAGATTCTAAGTTTTTCAGAAAAAGTTCTCTGCATGGTGAGTACCTACATATCATTCTCTTACTGGTGTAATGAGAAACTATTGTAATGACCTTACTAATAAAAAGCATGATCAAAATGAATTTAATTTGCATTGGCAAAATACTCTAAGAATTGGGAGAGGTATAAGCCTTGTTCCTGCTCTAGTTTAAGGAACTGTGTTATCATCCACTTCACTACAAATTTTATTCTGTATTCCATGTACTACTACTGTGATGGAAATCTTCTTTTATAATTAGTAATTTGAGATTACTGATTTGATCCCAACCACTCCTGTCCAGCCCTTAAATAATAAAAATTTAATGCCAAAATACTGATATACAGTTTATACCTCAGGCTTGACAGAGTCTACCAAGTAGACTCATTAACTTGTTTGGTTCTGTCTCTGGTACAATCAATATGATGCCAGATGTATTCAAAATAATGAGTTAAAATTACCTACAATGTATTCCTGAGAGAGATCCTGATTAGCACATTCCACAACATAATTAAAAACTGATATTACATTGAGCCTCTACTACAGAAACAAGGGAAAGCAGTCCAGTGAAACAAGCAAGGCAAGCAGAAATGCTTCTGTGGTACATCACTTCAAGCAAACACTGCCTTCTTCACTTTTTATTAATGTATCAGTCAGTTCTCATGAACAAACACATTGAGTGTGCATAGGGATGGAGTGTAGCCATTGATAACAAATACCGGATTCATCCTATATCTCTTCCCTCACAAAATAGCAGAAGACACAAGAGGAATGCTAGGAGGATGGTTCTGAAGTTATGCAATTCAATCAATTTTGATACACAACCATATCAATTCAGTAGTTAAGATTACAAGATGTATTTTAATGCAGACAGGTAACAAGACAGTTGGTACCTCTTCCATGAGCACAGCAATATTCTGAGCATTACGTGCTGTTTAGGATCTTCCCAAGATCCCTTCTGTATAGTCTAATTCCAGAGCTTATCATGGCACTGGACAGACATGCAATTGTGCACATCAAATCAAGGACTTCTGAACAGACCAAGATGGTATTACTTAAAGAAAAAAAAACAACAAAAAAACCCCCACATACGCACACTTATAATCACACTCCTGTTTTTAGCAGCGTAGTGAAATGTACAATTTAATGACAAGCACAACAAAAAACTTACTCTGTAATCGTGAAAAAGTCCATGAGTTCAGATTTTGTAGCCTTGTTCCAATATGTAAACAATGCATCTAGGAAAATGAAAAATATTAAAAACAAGATAAAGGCAGCAAACACAAAAAAAATTAAATACAAGAGTTAACATAAGTTCTTAGTTTTCAGATATTGAGAATCTAGAAATGGATTGCAGGGCACAGAGAACAATTACTATTTAAAGTTTTCCTTGAAGATGATCATATGAATTCACATATCAATTCTCCAAATGAATGTCTACAATATGATTTTACCTAATCCATAATATACAATTTCATATTTTAAATAGTAATAATTGTAT